CTGTGCCAAAGTCTTTTCGGGATTTTACTGTGAATACTAGCCAAAGAGACCAGTAGTTGAAAAGAGATGGAAAGTCAAGAGAAGGGGGCTCAAGTTAGTGATATCAAGGCATGTTTGTTGAAGAGAATGACCCAGCAAAAAAGGGAGAAACTGATGATGCAAAATGGAAATGATTATTTTAAAAATAAAGTCTTGAAAAAGATGAAGGAGGGTATGATTGTCTTAAATACAAAAGAGACATCTTCCACCATAAGTCAGGGGAAAGTAGGGGATATACATATTTGCAGGTAATTTGTTGGGATTAAGAATGAGACAAGGTGGAATATATGATAGTGTCTGTTCTCTCCATAAGTATGAGGTGAGGTCAATGGAGACTGAAGAGAATTTGGGGAGAGAGGAGAAAATGTCAGATAACTGTCTCTGAGGGTAGAAAAGTGACTTTACTGTGGAATCGTACTGGAAGTGCCCCATATTGTTAGATGCTCATTTGAGATTCGTGATCACACATTTTATGTGAGCTCAGTTAGCAGTGAGGTGTGTGATATTCTTCAGCAATGGCTAGCTGTTCAGGTCCAGATGCAGAGTACATAGTAGGTAGTTGTTTGACTACAAGAAACAATGACTAACTACAAATCTTAAGAGGGGAGGAGCTCCCAGTTCCTGTGAGCCCCAGAAACTATGAGGTTGGGCCCATATTTTAAGCCAACTTCTGAGTACATCCTAGATATTTTCCCCTGGAGAGAGGAGGATGAGAGAATATCTCCATAGTAGGCAGCACAGTGGCAAGGATAGAGTCAGGTCATTGTCACCGAGGACTTTTTAAAACCACACTTGCTTATTTTTCAGTGATGCTGGAAAACAGCACCTCAGGGGAAGTATGGATCCAAGATGAAGAATTTCTGCTTTAGTGGACACCATTACTGATGGAAGTGGATAAAATCCCTTAAGGGAATGGGACAGAAGAACAAATTGTGAATTACTGGCACATTTCATAAGCACCTAGAGATAAAGAGGGAATCATGAGGACACAACACGATTTAACTTTTAATAAAAAGTCAGACCAAACCTCTCACTTCCTTTTCTGAGTGCAGTAATAGACTGTTAGATTAGGAGGGCTGGACGAGCACAGTGATTTTATTCTACATCAATGAGAGAGGGAGCTCTCCAGAAGAAGGTAGAAAGATGACAGAGTAATATTAAAAGTCTAGTTGATGTTGAAAGTCAGGGATGGTGCTGATCTGCACTCTTGGGTAATGTCCACCCTCAATTCTGAAAAGCAAGAATATTAGGATCAGAACATGAGGTATTTGCATTGACTCATTTTTGGACATCTGCCTGGTTTGAATGGCAGACAAACCCAGGGATGAAGACACTGTAGGTCTCGGTGAGAGGACTGAAGTGATTCGCCTGGCACACAAGGTTAACTGTGAAGAGAAGGGCATGAGAAGACTAGAGGACTGAAATCACTGGGGGACACATGCAGACCAGCAGCCACAGTCCTGTTGGACAGAAGAGCTGGTTGGGAGAAATCACGGCATGGATAGCGTGGTGGGGTTAAGGGTTGTGATCAGATAGTGAGGGGATCATTTTTCATGGGCATTTCCTGGAGAGGAATTAGCTGCTTCTGACAATTACTTCTTGCGTGCCAGCCTAGAAAGTCCAGTCTTATGGCTTCCAGAGGCAGGAGAAGGCAAGAACAATGCATGTTAAATTACCCCTGCAAGTCAAAGTCTTTCTTGCTCAGAACGGTTGAAGTTGAGTTGTTATTAGGGCATATGGGGCTTGGTGTCATCAGCCTAGTAACTCATGTTTTTAATTTTCATTTGGGATTTTAAAATACTTTTTCATAAAAGAGCAAAACAAACTTGTCTTTTTTTTTCCCCTACCAATATAATTTAAAAAGACAGGCTGATAAGGCCTACTGATGGGTCATGCTGGGCCTTGCCAAAGTATGGGATGACGGTATGAAGTAAATCCCATTAATTGCAGCAGTTGATGACTCCAGCAGAGAATAAGGCTTACAATTAGAAGTTCTCAAAGCTTTGCAGGCCACTGGAGAGATTGTAAAATTGAGTCAGTTATTAGCACATATTCAAGACAAGGCTTATTCAAAGTTGGGCAATTTCTAGCTTTTTATGAACAGACCAGATCCCTGTTGACAGTTCTGTTATGTCTAGTGTTCCATGAAATTTCACCAAGACCTTTGATATTATATACATTTCCTTAATTGTAAACACATATTTCTTCTCTAATGCAAAGTTTCTTCTTAGCTTTACAGAGCTGTCAATGACAGGAAGCTCGGATACCACATGTGGAAATGACAAAAGTGGTGTATGAACCTGGTTTAACTAGCGCATAAAGAGTACTGTTGGATTTACTTAAGTAATCATCTTTTGATGAATGTAGTCTTGCTAGTATCATCTTCTGCTGATCACGGAGTTCTACATCAGAACGGGGACAGACATCTGGAAACATCTGGCCCCTTCCAAAGCAATAACATTGTAGTGCATTTCCTGACATAACTACACAGACTCTTCCAATCATTCTGGGTCTTACACACTAGAAGTTCTCAAGAGGAGGCACTGGTTTGATTTTTTATATTTTCTTTTCCCATAAAGAACAATCAACTGGATATACACATTTCTATTTCATAATTGTATTCTAACTACTTGTTTAAATGTCCATCTCCTTACAAGGGTAGCACTTCAAGGAAGGAAACATGCATTCATTTCTATAACCCCCCTGTAGAGCTCAGTACATATGCTGGGACTCTAGTCTGTAGCAGAAAGGACCAGAAGATGAGTAGCTGTGTTTGAGAAGACATATTGCAGTATTGCTAACATGGTAGCAGAGTGGAACTAACCTGAATGTCCATCAACTGGGGAATAACAGAAAAAGTTATGGTAAATCAATAAAATGGAATATCATTCAGGCTTGAAAAAGAGTGAGGGAGAGCTACATTCATTAACCTAGAGGGAGGTCCATGATATACTGTTAAATGAGAAAAACAACGTAACAAACAAAAACAGAGTGTGATTCCAAATCGTAAATGTAAACAGCAGCACCCTGTGAAAAGTGTATGTGTTCACCGCTGTGAAGAATAGTCCCTCGGCTCTAACAGGGGTTACTGTGAGGATGATGAGAAGGGAGAAGGTAAAAATACAGCTCGCAAAATGCAAAGATACTCATGTGATACCGCAAAAGGTAAAATGCATGTTTTCAGCAGTATTTTTTTGAAAGAACAGCCGACCTTTATGGAGAGCTTACTGATCAATGTCAGGCATGGTTCTCAAGGCTTTGCGTAAGACTATTTCACTTACTGCCGGCACCAGCCCTGTGAGGTAGGGAATATTATTTCCCACATGTCATAAGTGAAGAAGCTGTGGCCCAGAGACGTTAATAAATTGACCCATGGTGACACAGAAGGTGGCAAAGCTAAGAAAAAATATAAATAGACAAAAAAAGAAGAAATTGCATTTTTTTTGGAGAAATTAACCTGATCAAATGAAAATAATTGATTTGGTTAACTGATAGAACTATGAGTTATTTGGAATTTTTGCTATTATTTAATATTTAATTTTATCTTGAAAGAAAGTAAAATTATTAAAAATAAATAGAAAAAATGGTATGGGTGATTTTAAAACATGCCCTCAAGTCTTCCTCCTACTGAGAGAAGAGGTCTTTGTTTCTTGCCTTTGGATCTGAGTGGGGCTTGTGAGGACTCTGACCAGCCACATAGGGGACGTACCATGTGGGTTTTGGAAGGTAGGTCAAAAAAGTCAACAGCACCTTCCTCCCGGCTCGCAGTTTGAGAAGCTGGCTCTGGGGACCAGCCACCATGGTGTGAGTCCCATATGGAGATATACTAAGGCCCCAGCCAACAGGCAGCATTGACTGCCTGACTTCCGATGGTTCTAGCCCTCAGCCTTAGAATCTTTCAACCGAGGCCCCAGACATTCTGATCAGAGACAGACTGCACCAGCCATGTCATGACCAAATGTCTGACCCCCAGGATCTTGTGTGAACATACTCAGTGTTTCAGATTTTTTGTTTGTTTGTTGTTGGTATTGTTTGGTTTGTGTTTATTTTTTAAGTTTATTTTTTTGCTCTTAAGGTTTACACAGCAGGTAGTTGGAACAGGTGAGGACCTTCTGGAGTGATACTTGTCAATTTAGAGTATAGCTTTCCTTCATCTTATTTTTCTAGTCCTTTTAGGCATAATGTGATGAATTTTATATGCCGATGAGGTTAGGCCAAATGCAGTGCCCAAATATTTGGTGAAATGTTGTTCTGGATGCTTTTGTGAAGGTTTCTTTGGGCAAGATGAACATTTAAATTGGTGGACTTTGAATAAAGCAGATTACCCTCCATAATATGATTATCTGCATCCCCCAAAGTGGAGACATTAAGAGAACAAAGACTGACCTCCCCTGAGCAAGAAGCAATTTTGCCAACAGTCTGCCTTTGCATTCAAACTGAACCTCTCCCTGAGACTTCAGGCTGCCGATCTACCTCACCAGCACCCCCACAATCATGTGAGACAGGGTCTCAAAATAATTTCACCCCTCGTCTCTCATTCTCTGAGAACCCTAATACACATATTGTGGTACCTTTAACTCTGCTTCTCAAACTCTTCCCAAATCCCTCCAGCTAACCTCACCGTAGTAAACGTAAATCCCCTCTATTGAACTTCAGATGTATTTGATGCGTTTAAGGGGAATAGAAAAGAGACTCATGCTAGCTGGAGAGTCAACCTTCTACACCTCTTCCACTTCCTCCCTCTTTAGGGAAAAATCATAAGCAATATACATCCATTGCCAACAAATGATCAGCACATGAATAGGATGACAACATCAAGGGTAGGAAAATCTAAGCAGATAAAGGAAGTAGATCAACTGTGGCCTCTGCACTGACGTGGCTTCTCAGAATTATATATGCCACTAAGAATGCCCAAGTGACAGAATGATCAGTTGCAGGCAAAGCCGAAGGATGCAGCTTACCCCTCGAAGCAATGGGCAACTGTCAGGACCCACTTCTTGGCAATGAGGACACAGCCGCAAATGTGTCCGCTGGGTTCGCTCTGCAGGGAACACTGCCATGGCCACCTTCCAGGGCGACTCGTTCGACCCCCAAGGATCCTCTTGTTCATTCGGGCGGCAGGGCGGCGCCCACAGTCTACCAGGGAGCAGGAAAGACAGTGGGCGATTCACCGACAAACCCAGCTCCATGCTTGGATCTTTGCTGTTAAGTGCAAGTCATTGTTTTTGCCCGGAGCTAACCCAGTTAAGTTCATATTCCATTGCTACACCACTAATTCTCTCACCTTGTTTAGTACACAGAAGAGAAATCTTACTTCTGCTATGACAAGTCTGCCTAGATTTGGAAACATAAAATGGCATAAAGTTACTATTTATTGTTTACTTCAAACACTTTACCACCAAAAAGCAAGACAGAGGTTCCACTCTTCCCAGAGGTTGTATTTTTTGAGTAAAGATTATCTGTACTTTAGTGCAGGAATTCTTGAGGAATTCGTGTAGGGCTATTGTCAAATATCACCTTGGAAATGTGGGTACACGACAGATATGTACTTTTTTTTTTTAGTTGACTTAATATTATCATAATATATTTTCACCTGTGAGGGAAAAGGAACTATTGTTAGCAACATTTTCCACATCAATTTGGCTGGTGGCATCACCCAGAAAGAATATTGACTCAAACCATGATTTTCAAAGGAAAGCAAGGGAACTGGGTGATTTCTTAGGGTTTTTGGTGAGGAGGGAGCATATTAGATTTTTATGCTTAGGGAGAGAGTGTGGATGTCCAAAACAAGTTGGAAATAGTTTGGAGAAATAAAATATTACTTCAAAAAGTTAGAGAACAGATAAAGGATTTGAGTAGACAGGAAAAGAATCGTGAAGAGACTTGTGATAATAAAATGTGGATCTAGGGCACCTGGGTGGCTCAGTTGGTTGAACGTCCAACTCTTGATTCTGGGTCAGTCATGATCCCACAGTTTCGTGGGTTTGAGCCCTACATCAGGCTCTGTGCTGGTGGTGTGGAGCTTGCTTGGGATTTCCTCTTTCCCTCTCTCTCTCTCCCTCTCTCTCTCTTAAAATAAGTAAACTTGAAAAAAAATTCAAATGTGGATTTATGATTGGCTGACAAGAAGAAGGGGGTTAAATTAACTCCATGTAACCCTAGATGGCAGGATCAGAGCCAGTCAGTAGAATTATAGGAATAATGGGTTCAGGAAAGAAAGACCTTTCTAAACACCACAGTTAACGTTTAAAGCTAAGAACATGGGCCATGTTTAAGCATCTATTAATGTGGCTACACAAGAGCATTCAACTTAGGGCACATTAAGTTTCAATCACAAAGTTTTCTTTCAACCATGAAGCATTTATTCACAGTGTAACTTTAAAAAACAAAAGATACTTTGGGTTTGTCAATGGGGTGTCTGTGTGGCTCAGTCGGTTAGGCGGTTAGGTGACCCAACTCTTGGTTTCAGCTCAGGTCATGATCTCATGGTTTCATGAGTTCGAGCTTTGCACCAGGCTCTATGCTGGCAGTGTGGAGCCTGCTTAGGATTCTCTCTCTCGCCCTCTCTCTCTCTCTGTCCCTATCTTACTCACGCTGTCTCTGTCTCTCTCAAAATAAGTAAACTTTAAATTTTTTTTTTAAATACTGTGACATGCTTAGAATCCTAGCCCACTAGGAAAGAAAGAAGTATCTCTAAATATGCCATGTCTACATTCCCTTTTGAGGAATTGCTTTATTTTCATTTCTTGCTCAATTTGCATGGAGGTATGTGTAATTATTTGTATCAATAAATTATATAATACGGAAAAAGTATGTTTGCTTTTTGCCTTCCCACAACCTGAAGTCCTGTCTCCTCTTTACTCCCTATCTTGTTACCCTTAAATTCTTTGTAGTATTTTCAAATACCTGAAATTTATTTTATTTACTAACTTAGTCTCTCTGTCTACTTATACAATGTAGGTTTCTTAAGACCAGAGCCCTTGTCCCCCTCATTCACTCCTTCATCTTCTCACAGTCTAGCACTGAACCTGACACAGAAGAGATACTCAGTACTAAGTTGCTATTTTAGATCCCCAAATCATAACTTGCAGGAATAGGAAAAGACAGGGAAGACTATCCTGTACCAACTCCTTATTTGATAGGAAATTGTGGTTATAGAAGATCACAAATCTAGGTAGCAAGCCAGAACTAGATCCAGTTCTACCAACTCCCAATTTAGAATGAAATTTATGTATGTATGTGTTTAACCTGAAAGGGCTTTTCTGGCATTTGCAATTTGGGGAAACAAATCACTCCATTGAAAGATCCAGGTCATTGTTCAGAAATCTGGTGGCAGATTTTTGTCTATGGGGAAATCTTCAAGACATTCTAAAGAAAAATGGCTTACATTTACATTTCTCCTCTGAAATTATTAGGAAGTCGTTTCTCTAGTACTTATTAAAAGCTTTGGAGTCAGATTAACTTGGTTTGTGTTGAAAGGCCACCACTTACATTTGTGGGCTGTGAGTTTTAGTCAAGCTATTAAAATACTCTATAGCTATGACCCTATAATTTAATAGACACAAAATAAATCTTAATTCCTTCCATTTTCATCCTGTATCTCCATCCACAAACAAGGGAGACAGCCCTGTTCAAGGTGCCATGATTTTTTAGGGGGAATTTTCCAGAAGTGGACTTTCAAGGCTACTTGATTATAATTTAATTTTGTGTCAGATTTTCCCTCAGACTCTCCAAGTTTGATCAGTTCTCATTATTTCAATTCCCTCTTAACTAGTTCCATGTAGCATCTGTAGGATATTAGACATGAGAATTTGCTTTGGATAGGATTTGAAAAAACTCCAAAATTAAAACCTAAGTTCCTTTTCCTTCACCATGATAGTTTCTGTAATCATCATTAAAGGAAAATATAATTAGCAAAAGAATTATGTCTAGAAAGAAGAGATAAAGCCAAACAATGTTGAAATATAAAGGCCATTCGATGGAAGTTCTTTATTGATGTGATACATTTGGATTATCCTAAATTAGAGACAGGAGAAAGTCCCTGATGATACACTCTTGCTCCATAATCCACTCTACACAGCTCTTGTGAAGGGTGTCTTACCCTTTTACCAGCAGTTCATGCAAAGTGGTCCCATTGAGGCTCTCCCAGTTGGAGTGTAACGTCAGCCACTGCTGGTCTTGCTCCTGTCCCTGTACCAATTTGGTCACAGATGGCTCTCTAATAGAAGGACAAATAACAATGAAATACTCAAATCACAGTGACCTTTGACAGGTAATATCATTATTTAGCTCTCATTCTCTTTCAAAAAGAAACATTACATTGTAAGTCAATATTTCAAGAGGGGAGTGTGTATTAGAAATTTGGCATGGAATGTGATCAACAAAAGAGGAAGCTACTAAAAGTATACACTAAAGCAATAAAGATCTAAATTGTTACAGCTGTTTTAATCATGCTCTCCACTGACATGTACTTGAACTTTGTGAAGCGTTAGAATTCTAACATATGTGACATAAAAGTTCCATCTCAAAAAACAAGAGCAACTTTGGGCAGGGATCAAAAAAAGTAAGAAAAAATTTATCTGCCTGGGGATTTTTTTCTCCCCTCTTCTTACCCAATGTAATTCTGCAATGCAGCAATAACTTAAAATGAAGTAAATAAAGTAAAAACTAAAGAAGTAAATAAGTAAATTGATGGCTATGTAATGTCTATTTGGACAGCACAAAATTGTAAAGGTTTTTCTCAACAGACTGTAAAATCTTTATGCACTAAAAATTAGGAAAAACTCTGGAAAATAGAAATGGGAGTTAAACACTATTATTTTCCTCTTTACCTGTCTTCTTAATTGACTTGTACCAATCCTTTTCTGTGAATGTCTCATTCAATCATTCAAGTATATATGGTTGCACTGTATCCAGGATTTAAAACCTTGGGTTTCAAAAGTAATCAGGTTTTATGTAAAATATTCTATTATTCATGAAATAATTGGTTCTTTTACGCAATTCATATTTGCAGAAAACCTCTTGGACTTCCATCACGTGAGGCCCAAGGGTAGAAGAAATGGAGAAATGAATTCAGACAGTAGGAAGGAGGGCTGCTTCTAAACCCGGAAGGAAGCTGATACTTTGCTGAAGTTGGAAAGGAGTAGGGACTTCAAATCAGATAGCCTCTATCTTTCTTTCCAAGTGAAAGGTGAGCTCCTCAGATGAAAGTTTGGGGTGTCGGGGCACATGATGATGAGGAAAGTGACATGTGTATGGATTTGTTCCCTGGTGGAAGGGTCTGGAGAAACACATCAAATATAACTGAGAAGAACGGCAATAGCACTGAGGGTTGAAATGAACCTGGAAATCCTGAAATTGTACCAGCATCAAGTCTTCATGCTTAGTGACTTTCTTTTCCAATAATGGGATGCCACTTTTTGAAAAAAAAGGGGGGTGGTATGGAGGGCACAGGAAGGGAAGCAAAGTGAAGTTCAGTGACATTGAAAGAGAAATGAACATTGCAGCTGATTATTATTCAAAACTTATTTTTTAATTTTAACTTTATGAGATTTCATTAATCTCATCATAGAAAACAAATGGAACAAAACCTTCATCAAATCCTGTTACTTTTAAAAAGAGGAAAACCCTCTACAGAGAATACTTGATGACAGAATAAAAGCCAAAGGAAAAAAACCAAACAGAGCCTTTAATAATGAATGGATTCCAACCATTGGATGCTAAAACAAAGAGCATGTAACCTAACCGCACTTTAAGAAGAGTTCCACTAGATTTAAATTTAGTTAGAAACTTGAATGAACTGTGAGGTCATTGAAATGTTCACAAAACTTACTACAGAATGAGGGTTTTCCTGTTCCTTGACCAAAATGAGAGTCTGGCTTTCTGTTCATCTCAGAAGTTGCATATGTGGAAGCATAGCGAGAGGGAAACTTTCAATGTCAGACAGAGGTCACAAATACCACTGATAGTATTTCTCCTGATACCTGCATCCTGAGAATTACGTGTTCTGCGGTAGAACTTGGGAGCCTCCTAAATCCTGGCATTTTACTGGCCAAAAACCAAAGGAAGATAAGGATCAGATTTGTTGTTTAATTGAGTCATTCTTTAGGCAGGTATTTATAGGGCAAAAGGGACTTGCACCGGGAGGTCTATTCAGCATAGCATTTGCACTGATGGTGGATAGAAAAATCATTGCAAAGGACACTTCAGTGTTTCAACCTGCAAGCCACCTTCAGTTACCCTGAAAAAGGTCTCCACAGAGCAAGGCCCATGGGAGGTTTCTGCATTTCATTCATTAACCTCCAACAAGAAAGGCAATTTAGTCTGAATCTCTCACTTAGATCAAGTGGAAAATATAAGAAATTCATCATCAAGAAGAGGGGAATGTCATTATAAAAATTAGTTTTCCATGAAATTCTTAAACACTAGAATGCTTTTCATGCACAAAAATAAATCTTTCAGCCCCAGAAATGCGATTCTGTGCCTCATTAAAAAAATATCTAGGAGCTCATGGGGTTCTATTTCTGCCATCATAACAGAATCTGAGCATTGTGTGATTTCAATTTTTTAATTTTTTTCTTTAAATAATTTAAAAACTGTAAAAATAATACTTATACATAGAAAAAGTAATACAAATTATACAATGAAAAAATATTCTTCCCATCCCAGATGTATAGAAACAATCTCGGTATGTATATATAGACATGGATTTTTTAGTCCATCTACCTTGTTCTGTGTTGTATTGATGGTATTTTTATTTAGTGATTTACCTTGGAAGGCTTTCCAGAAAAATAGTTAACATTTGTCAACTGCACTATCTTATCTTATTTACTCCTCTCAATCGTGTTGGAAAGTAGGCATTGTTATTCCCTATTTTGGAGATGAAAATTTTCAGGTAAAAAGAGAGTAAGTACCTTGCCCAAGCTCACACAGTGAATAGTCGGCAGAATTGGGATTTGAAGCCCTGTGGTCTGATGCCAGAGTACCAACCTAATACTTTGAACACTACGTGGTCCCACTTCATTAACAGCACGTGCTGTGTCCTTTTTATAGCTGCAGAGTTTTACCATTATATGGATGTACATACATTTACTTACCCAACCCACTATTAACCCAGATGTAGGTTGTTTCCAATTTTTGTTATAACAAAAAATAGCAGTTAACATTTTTAACTTTTACCTTTGTCTACATGCACAGTTTCCTAAAATAAAAATAATTTCCTAGAAATAAAAGTATCAAATTAAAATTGAAATTTTTTATTAATGGTATGAATTTTTCCCCCAAAGACTAATGCCAATTTACATACTCATCAAGAATATATATGTAAGTACTTTTTCATTTTTATAACTATGCATAAAATGTAAATCATGCCATTAAAAGGTATCTGGAACCTAGCTGCTCACATTTTGTTTGACAATTGGTAGTGCATTTGACTTACCTTTTTCCATATTTTATCAAGTTAAAGAAATTCTGTTGGGTGGGGAGCAAAAGAGCAAAAACCATTTTACTAGTAATTAGGCATTAAAGTCACTGTATCCTAAGAAAGTGCAGGGAATATAATCAGACCTGAATGTTTCTACAGCAGCCATGAACTCATATACAGAGAAGGAAATTAAGGAACAATCTAATCCAGTGCCCTCATTTGATAGCCTGAAAGTCTAAAGAAACTAATACACAGATATAGACCCATCCCAAATATTTGAGAGTAAGGGTACAAATGGACGCCCACATAAGATAGGTCTACATATTTAGATGTTATAAATCAAATTAACAAGTTGTTAAAGAACATGTCTTTTATCTTCCTATCTTTTCTGTTTTAAGAAAAAAAATTCCAAGATTTTATTTAAATTCAAGTTAGTGAACATATAGGTAGTATTAGTTTCAGGAGTAGAATCTAGTGATTCATCACTCACATATGACACCCAGTGCTCATCACAATGAGTGCCCTCCGTAATGTCCATCCCCCATTTAGCCCAGCCCCTCACTCCCCTCCCCTCCAGCAGCCCCCCGTTTGTTCTCTACAGTTAAGAGTCTCTTATGGTTGCTTCCCTCTCTGTTTTTACCTTATTTTATTTTTCCTTCTCTTCCTCTATGTTCACCTGTTTCTATCTTCCCATCTTGACAAACGTAACTTTTAGGTTCAAAATAAGGGATTTTGGACTCCTTGGAACAGTGCTTATCAAAACTTGGCATTCATCAGCATCACCTGGAGGAGCTGTTACAAAAAAACAGGTTCCCTGATTCACTAAGTCTGAGATGGCGCCACAAAGGCTACCTTTCTAACCAGATCCCAGGTGATGATGCTGCCGCTGCTGGTCTGGGACCACACTTTTAAAACATGCTTTAGATAGCAGACCAGGCTCCGGGTGGGCCTAACTCCTTGCCCCATGGGGTGAGGCATGGCTGGGGAGGAAGGCCAGAGCGGTCCCTCTAAATCAGGATTTCTTATCCTTGGCACTATCGACATTTTTATACCAGATGATTATTCACTGTGCGGAGCTGTCCTGTGCTCTTTAGGATGTTTAGCATCATCCCTGGCTTCTACCTACTAGATGCAAGTAGCCACCCCTGGACTGATCATTAAAAGGGTCTTCCAGACATTTCCAAATGCCCCTTGCGGGGCAAAGTTAAGCTTGTTGGGGAACCACTGTTCTCAGTCATGGCGCCCAGGGCAAGGCCCCTCTGCTCTGGGTCTAGAGGCAGTACTGTGCAGAAAAGCACAAGGATTTCCAAATTTGCTTCCTAATTGTGTGGCCATAAGACATACATATTTTAAAAAATGTATCATTCTTCCTCTGCTCCCCAAATGAGAAGATAGAACTTCTCCGGAATTCTAAAACATCCTGACATTCTGAAAGGAATGACACACTGGTACATTTCAAGGCTTTGGTGAGCAACCAGATCTCTAGATAGTTTGATCCGCCTTCCCACGCTCAAGACATTCAGTGTTCAGTAATAGGCGCTTAGTTCGCATGCCATCCTTATGCTGGGCTTGCTTACTTGAGAAGTGCAGGTCAGCACAAATTCCCAGAAACCAAGGGCTTCTTCACTTTTTGGCAGCAAGAGAACAGGGGAGGAATTACCTAGAAATGTGATACATTTAAGTAGCAGGACAAAGTCTGTTCTGTCATGGGTACTGCCGAGGTACAATAATCTGAGTTTTCAACTTCAATACTAACAGTTGGTCTTGAAATATAAATGCCTCATGCAGTAGACAAA